CCCTCTGGGTAGCTGGCTGTGACCAAGTAATGACCATAACCTTGCCCCTTGTCAGCTCTACTATACACCTGGGAATTCTGATCATTCACATGAACTTATGGGCCCATTGTCTGCCAACCCTATATATGATCTTGGATACACTCTCCATTTAGACATACATAATTGTTTAGCTTGTTCAATAAGTGAACATTTCTAATTCTTTTTTTTTTTTAAAGACATTTAATTTTGCTTCCAGTTACAGACTCTAGTGTTTCTGACTATTAAGGGCAATCAACTTGTGTACTGAAGTAAGAATTCTGTTTCTGTGCAGTCCCTCTAATAGGTAAGCTAGGAAATTACAGACATGATCCAGAAAAAACAGTTATATCTAAGGTTTTATATAGGATATTGTTTTTTTAAGAGATAAGTGTTTTGGATGCATTTCAAAATTAATATGCTCAATCTATTAAATGTGATAACTTAGGAACCGGGAAGAGCAGAATTTGGTGGCTTATCCCCATGATGGAAAAATCTATTTCTGCACCTCACAAGATATCCCTCCTGAAAACGAACTGCTTTTTTATTATAGCCGGGGTTATGCTCAGCAGATTGGTAAGCTAATAAGAGTTGTTTGTCATGAATCTAGCATAGTAAAAGCACCAAAATAAATGTTTGGTAATCATTTGCATGTCGTTTGTATATATAAAAGCAAGGTATTACTACCCCTGTGGTGGAGGTGTTAAAATCTGTGAGATGTTCATTAGCTAAATGTTAATCACCAAGCAGTGTTCTTGGGAAATGAACTTCCACATTAGGACTTTGACTTGGGGAATTTGAAGGTATTTTTTCAGCCAGCACCACTGAGTTTTAAGTTCTGAGGGACCACAAAGGCCCTTGAATTGATTTAACCTGCATAGGTTTCTTCTTATCACTGTCATGATGACAAATGATGTTTAAGAGTTTGTGTATGCTGTAAAATCTGAAGGTTTTATCTAGGAAAAATGCCTCATACTTCAGTGATTACTGAGTGCTTCCTGTGTGCCTGGCACTATTCTCAATGCTGGGGATAGAGCATTGAACAAGACATTTTACTTTTATAGTTAGTAGGCAAGCTGGAAATTTTCTATAAAAATTCTATTAAAAAAGTGAGAATTGCAAGCAATTATTAATATTAAGAAAAAGCTTTCAATGTAAGTATGTGGAGACCCTGAGTAATCATTCTCTTTTTAAGGTGCTCCTGAACACCCAGATGTGCACCTCTGTAATTGTGGCAAGGAGTGCAATTCCTATTCAGAGTTCAAAGCCCACCTGACCAGCCATATTCATAACCACCTTCCCAGCCAGGGCCACAGCAACAGCCATGGACCAAGCCACAGCAAAGAAAGGAAGTGGAAGTGCTCGATGTGCCCCCAGGCTTTTATCTCTCCTTCCAAACTTCATGTCCACTTTATGGGTCACATGGGCATGAAGCCTCACAAGTGTGATTTCTGTAGTAAGGCTTTTAGTGATCCCAGCAACCTGCGGACCCACCTCAAGATACACACAGGTAAGTTATGTTGGACCTGGAGTTTCTGCAACAAATAGAACTTGTGGTAGTAAAAGGCTTTATAAAATAGATTGAGTACTGTAGGTAGAAATGAGGTGTGGATGTCACAGAATGAGTGCAGCTGGTGTCAGGTGGGACCTCAGTGTGTGGTAGAACTTTGGTGGAATAACTGTGGTTCTTCAGAGGGTATTAGTAAGGTATTCCATTTTTCAGCCACCCTCACCATAGTTTGGAGGTCCCTGGGAAATGTAGTTAATAATCTGGACGTTAATCAGTGTGTTTGGACTTAAAGGGAATTCCGTAGAAGCAGTCTGGGCCTCCCAGCAATGCTCACTCCTGTCATCAGCTAGAACCAGTTTCTTTCTTAGAATATTGTTTCAATAAATGCTGCCAAAATTTAAGTTTTGAGTTTTATTTTTCTAAATGCCATCCAAATGGTGTCCCTTCTTTTAGGACTTGTTTTTTCACACAGACAACAAAGTAACTCTTAGCTTTCTTGCTTGGGTCATTTGTTCTCCAAATCTTCTAAAAGAGGGTTCACTTGTCAACTCGGCTCAGATGTCAGCTTCTCAGAGAGCCCTTCTCTATCTTTCCTTTCTAACGCTACCCACCCCCCCCATCATTTTCTCTCTTATTTCACAATTTTATGTATTTCCATCATAGCATTTATCACTCTCTCAAGTTAATATGTTTGTGTTTGCATTTTTATTATCTGTCTCCCTTCACTGGAATGTACAGCAAGGACTGTCTTATTCATCATTCTGTCCTCTAGTATCCAGAATAATGATTGTCATATAGTAGGCTCTCAGTAAACATGTTTAATGAATGAATGCTTACAGATATGAATGATTTTATCTTCCATTCAAGCCTCCTTAAAAAAAACACCCTTGGTAATTTAGTTAATTTGGTTCGTAGAGTGTTTACTGTGTAGCAGGCTTCATGCTAGACAGTGGTGATTGTAATGTTGGTACGGTAAAGGGATCTGATCACTTCAGTTTCACAAGGGGAAGAGAGAATCACCATCAACATCGGCCTAGGGCTGTTTCCTGTGAAGCAGAGGTCAGACATACATCCTCTCTCCCATTTTTTTTTTTTTTTAAACCAATTCTGACAGCAGCCATCTCTCCCATGGCACTCTACTTCTCTGTTGGGTTTGATAATTCATTGTGGTGGCTGCACAGAACTCACAGACAGTACTCAAAATTTTGAGATTTATTAGGGAAGTAACAGGTTACAAGTCAGAATCAGAAACGGTTCAGGATATAGTTCTTCAGTGAGGCCATCATCTTCTCAGCTATGCCCACAGGCAGTCCTCTCTCTGGCCCTAGTCCCCTCAGGCCTCTTAAGGTGGCCCAACCTCTGGCCTGCTTAGGCAAGCACTAGAGAGTTTTTTAGCTCCACCAGTAAGTGTCACAAGCCACCCACTCTGCCAATAAGCCTTGGCCTGAGGGCACTCTGCTTTCTTGCTCCATAGGTTAGCAAGCCTACCTCCAGTAACAAGTGCTCAGAGGCAGCCCACTCCACTAGCAAGCCACCTGCTCAGAGGTGCTCAGCTCTCTTGCTCCGCGGGCCAGGACACTTACTGCTGTACTCCTTGGTCTGCTGCCTCTGCTGTAGCCATTTCTCTGCAGCTTCTTGCCATCTCCATTGTTACAACTGTCTCCTGGCTCTGGGAGGTTCCCAGTGCAGGGACCCCAGGTCCAAAGGATGTGTTCCACTTCTGTCTCTTAGTGATAGTCAGGTATTCCATTTCTACCTCTGGGATGGTTCATTTTAAGCCTCGCAAGTTGGCAAAACTGTGACCAATCCTCTTATTAGGGTTACGTGCACCATATTTGCATGGTTTTACCCCAACAGAGTGCCATGCTCCTATTTGTATTATTAGCAAGCTCTTCGATGCCCTTGGTGGGCTATAAGCACTTTATTTCTGTAGTTATACCCAGTCTTTTGGTGACCATGGTTAGAAAGGCCATAAAAAGCAATCCATGGGACCACAGGGCTATAAAGAGGAATATGGTATAGTCTCTGCCCTTGAGGAGGGTAGCATAGTGGCTAAGACACTTGCCTGCTAACCAGACGGCTGGCGGTTCAAACCCACCAGCCACTCCTCGGAAGGAAGGTTGGGCAATCTACT